ACTCCTAGGTTAATGGATCATTATTAGCCTTTATTTGTTTCCATTAAATAGTTTTCAATTCCTAGATTAATGAGTTATTATTAGTATTTATTTTCTTTTATTGAGTCTTTGTAATTGTGATGACAACGCTTCTATATCAGCTGAACCATTTTTATCAAGAAATAACAAGTGAAATTTTATTCAGAAATATTAGAGTTTATCTCTTTTATCTTAGTGAGAGTGATTCTCCTAAATTCTTGAGTGATTCAAGAACCCTTGGCTGTATCAAAGGACTTTCACATCCTTTGTGTGTTGCCTCCCTTGGGAAGAGTGATTATTTCCTTCCACCTTCTTTCTAATTCCTAAATTTCTTACAAGGTTCTAACCCTAAAGATCCTAAATTACCCCTTGTGATTCATATCAAAATGAGTTTAAAAGTGAAAATAAAGCATATGGAAAATGCATTCACTGTATAATAAAATTATAAATTTGTGTACAAAATATGAGTTATCAATGTCTCTTTAATTTTTCTCTTTTATTTACATATGTTGTAGACATGACATTCAACCATCGTCATCTTCCTTCAAATATGTCTTTGTTATGCCTCCAGGACAAATATGTAACAAATACATTATGGGAATGGAATAAAAGAATACTTTGTCCTAAGTGACATAATATGTGGGTAAGAAAACATGCAAACATGTTGGACGATTGTGTTAAAAAATTGATACAACAAGCAGGATTTGGATAATTGCTTACTATTGCAATTGTTAATGTGAATCATCATTTGATAACAATGTTAGTTGAAAAGTGGAGAACTGAAACCTACACCTTTCAGTTTTCGATTGGAGAAGTTACTGTAATTTTAGAAGATGTGATCTTACAATTAGATCTTCCCATTAATGGACGGTCTACTACAAGTGTCACGAGTGGAGATTTGACAATGTTTTGTTAACCTTTTTTAGGTTTATTTCCACCCTAAGTGTTACTATAGGGAATACAATCAAACTTTCTTGGTTGAACACTTTGTTTCAACAACTTTCAGATTATACAAACGATAATGTTGTCACATAACATGAAAGGGCACACATATTAAATGTATATCTTATTATTTCAAAACTTTACTGTAGTTTCACACTATAGTTGAGGATTAGTTGTTTTGACATGTCTAAATAGAGCATTAGATCATGGGATTGACTACTATTAAGATAACATTGGAGGTTGTATGCTATTACTTCAAGCATGAGCATGAGACCGTATTACATGCATTTGTCCTAAGGTACGACAAATGAGGAAATTGTTATTGGCCATGGTTTTTTCCATTGGCAAAAAAGTATTTTAAATTTAAATTTATTTCACATTACTTTATTTAAATTATATTCATATTACTTCATTTTCAAATTTTGAATATTTTTTTATATAGAATAGGTGGTCATGACCTAGTCAAATGTTAAACATTATCACATATGCTCTGCATGCATTACGTTTGACATTTGATCAATTAAAACCAAAGGAGGTAATGCATTTATTTTTCTTCATGTGTTTTTAAAAAAACTTTTAATATATATTCTTTAAATGATAATTATTCTAATTTCATAAGTCTTTTATAATAATGCAATTTTTCTTGACTCCTTATAGTTAATTTAGCCTATAACAACTAATAAATGTTGAAGTTTCTCTTGTCAGTCATGTTGTAGTTCAAATGATATGTTTTTCAATTGTTGAGCCTTATTCAACAAATCAAGTTATGAGACAATTTGATATTCACCAACCAATTCCATAAGACCCCATCAATCTGGACAAGCTCCACAAAGAAGACATAGAAAGGTAGAACTGATAGATTTTGACTACAATATCATGAAATGTATATTACTATGTAGAACAACCATCATAATTGTTTACTCAAAGAAACAAGTTCATAGGATCTGACCACTTACGTGAAAATACACCATATATGACATGATATTTTTAGCACACTATCAAATATATTTTCTCTAATAGGAAAATTTAGATAATGAAGTAAGTATATAATTTATATTATTTTATATATAATAATATCTATATGAAACTAATGTTGCAATATTTTTTTCTCACTAATATGATATATAACAGGAGGAACAATAACATGACCAATCTAGTAATGTTTATGTTGGTTAGTCATTGATCAACATATTGATTAGTCAAGTGGTTAATATATTGGTCAGTCAAGTCATTAATATGTTGGTCAAACTAGTCAATAACCTTATCCATATTTTAGATATGTTGACCAACTTCAAAATTTAGTTGGTCGAATTCAATTTGGAGGTTGGGTTCCTCATACATTTATTTTGTTTCCCTCTTAAACAAATATGTTTTCCACTTCTTTCATGACACCACAATCAACATACAATCGAACTTTTATGTCTACTATGTCCAGTATGTCCTCTATGTTGTATGTAAATGAAGAGGACGAAGATACTCATGATGATGATAATAGGAATAGATGTTCAACCATCACTAGTACATGGTCATAGACATGCTACACAAGTACAACAAATACCTACCTAATACCAACCATGTAGACTAAGGTAAAAGATTAGAAAAACACTTTGTGGGATAGTGTCTCATTATTAAATATTTTGTAATTTTATTTTCTTTAATAATATATGTAATTTTTTATTTCTGTTTAATGTAAAATTAGAAATATAAATTAATTTGTGGTTTACTTCTTCTCTCCAATTTTTTTTTTCAAATTAATGATAAAAAATAATTACAAAAAATTAATCAATTTTTTAATAATATATTATGTAAATAATTAATTATTTTTTATATTTTAAAAAAATCATCCAAAATTGTACTAGATAACATAACTTTAGTTTAAAAAAAAAAAAAAAAAAAAAAAAAAACTCGTACTATCTATTTTCAGTGTAGTTCGCTGAACTCGTATCATAATACGAGATCTTCTTTTTAAAATCGTCTCGCCAAACACAATTTGTCCTTCTTTCATAAAATTGAAATTCGACTTTCATACATAATTTTTTTTATTTCCAGATATGTAATGTGCATGTTAATTTGCGGTTTCTAACTGGAAAAAGGGAAAAATATAATAAAAGAATTCTAAAATGAGAGACATTAGTGGAAATATAAAATATAATTTTAATGATATTAGAAATTATAGATTGACAATATTATCTTTTAATAAATCAGACATGAAAATTGTGTTGTTTATAAAATGATGTTTCAAAAATGGATAAATTAATACTATTTCTATTTTAGAAAAAAAAAAAGGTAGTGATTTATAATTTATATATATATATATATATATATATTTAATGTTATCTTAAATAACATTTAATAAATTTTTTATATATATATATATATATATATATATATATATATATATATATATATTACATCTTATTTTTAATATAAGACACCATATTTTGTATTGTATCGATGTATCATATAAAACATATAAATTTGACAGTTTATTCCTCTCGAATATTGTAGTATATTGTCCAGTGAGTACCATTCCTATCATATGACAATTTGTATTAATTAAATTTAAATAGTTTATATTAATTAATTTTTTATAATTGGAGATTTACATTGAAATTTATATATGGCCAAGTATATATAATAGTAATTGAATTTAAATTTTATTAGTTGAAATTTAAATAATTCAAATAAAAAAGAAATTTACGGTTGCCTTCCTTACAGAGTTATCCCATTCTTATTCTTCAATATTTTCAATAATAAAATCACACACGCTTCCCTTATGAATTAAAACTTAAATAAAAATTATAAAAGTTAAAATAAAAAAACATTTTTAAAAATAAATAAATGATTTAAATACAATTCTATTAAAAATATAAAAATTTGAACCTCATTTTTTTTTAAAACATAAAACAAGTAAATGTTTATATTGTTTTATTAATATATATATATATATATATATATATATATATATATATTATTTAGTATAAAATCAAGGGAAGAAAGTAAACTTTTCTTAAAACAAATCAATCACTATGTATGAATGGAAACATTTTAAATGATTATTATAAAACATCGTTAGTGATCTATTGGACAACATCAATAAATGTTAGATACGTGATGGATTATTAATTTGGGATTCCTACAATCTTACAATACAAGGATGTAATATAGCATCAATTTTTCTTAGATTTTAAACAAATTTTTATATTTATTCTTTTTATGCAATATTAAAACTAGCTTATTAAGCTTCTATATATACTTGTGAAAGGAACAACTCTGTTTCACTACTAACAATTTTTAGCTTCGTCATTCTAACACAAATAAATCCTTAATTCAATTTAACTTAAATTGTATATAATTAATTATAGACATTAAGTGTTAACTAAACACATTTTACTTTATATATTTTTGTCTGGAGATATGAAAGAGTCTAAATTCATTTTCAATAACTAGGTTATGCTTTAATTATGAGAATGAAAATTGGTTCACACCGAATTACAATAAAAAGTCTTAATTCCTACAACTTATTCATTGCTCAACCTTACATTTATGAAAGAAAACGTTCTTGTAATTAAAATAGGTTATTCTACATATTTACATAATCACATGAGTCTATCTTTACATATATCGGACAAAAGCAAATATCTTAATTATTTTATAAACATTATAATGTTATTTCAGGGGTAAAAGTACCTAAGTGATAGTTTTTGCCAAAAAAGTTACATGAAAAATAGCACAAAATAAATCCTTTATAATATAAGCTAAAGATATTGCACTATTTGTGAAACATTAATAATTTCAAAGGGAACAGTTAATTTGACTTATTATTGAATTAAGCTTGTGCCCTATAAATCAAGAATCATACCAGTAAAAGCCTAGCTACAACCTAGCTCTGCTCTTTCTTGAATGAACCATGTTGCCATGCTTAACTTGTTCATAACCTTATACATTAAATAGGGGGTAGTTGCATAAAATAAGGTTATAAACAACCAAAGGCTCCCTTCAACCTCTGACAAAACTGTAACCCTCCCCAACAACATTGGCTAAGAGATAATGGATATAATGATAGAAGAAAATAAAACTAAAAACAATGTGGCCGTTGCTTCTGGTGGTGCTCTAGAATTGTCAGGTAATGGAGTGCTCATCCCAGGAGTTAGTCCACCAGTATTGCCCCCACCATAGATTGGTGTTGTTGTTGTTGTAGATGGTGGCACATTAGGGTTGTTCATAGGTGGTGTTGTGATTGGTGTATTTGATCCTCCAGCAGTACTGAACATGATATAACCAAGTCAGTGTGATCAATGAAAAGCATTTTCATGGCTTAAAACAAACATCAGTTTCCATAATCTAGTTTGGAGTTAACCTTTCACAGAAGAGAAAACTATATCAACCAGCTCTAGACTTATTGTGAAAAAAAGAAAGGAGTCAACAACCAGATAATTCACTGTATAATAAAATTATTCTTTCTTGTTCTTCCGCAATTGCATGATGCATCTCTTAACAAGTTTCTCTCCATGGTGCTACCATTTCAACTTACCATCTGAAGGAAAAGTTGTCATACATCTAACTTTTGGATTGTAATAACCATGTGGGTGTGATCTCTCTACAAAAAATAAAGGTTCATCATGACTCGTGGGAGGGCAAAACAGGCCTAGAACTAGACCAGCATGGGCCATCGTTGTCACTGGTTTACATGCTGAAGCATGAGAAATCAAAAGGGGTCAAACACATTCCAAGCAATGATTACATCACAACCAGCATTTTCATATGATCCCCCATTGCTGTGCATAACCAGCATCTCATGTCTAGGTGCATAACTTTTTTAGCACATCATTAATTACACTACCAAACCAAATAAACATTTAAGGTGATTTATTATTGAGCACAGTATTAATTTGTACCTAACTGTAATTACCCATCTAAAAAATTCCTTTCATGTAATGTAAGTCATCTTACTACCAAACCATATCTTCAATAAGATACTAAAGAGTGTCATGTCAAATCCTACCAGGTACCCTGTATCTTCTTTTTGTCTTTCTTTCTTTTTATACAGTTATGTTGATGGGTTATACAGTTATGTTGATGGGCTTAATTTTACGTGATTAAAAAGTATATGGAAATTAATCTCAATCACAGTTTTTTTTGTTATTATTAAAATGTGTCTCAATGTGTGAAATAACTGTGCCCACCACAGAAGTACCAATGACTCCATCAAAAAGTTGAAGTTCTGCAGTGAATTTTATTTTACCAGACAAAGTTTGAACTTTTTCCAATTGGGTCTCCATGAACTGCACTACCACAACCCTGATTAAGTAAAAAGTAATTTATAGTTTTTCTTTCCAACCTCACCATCATAATATGCAAATGGATCAATGCTATACTTGTTATAAAGACCAAAACCTGAGCAAGAAGAACCAAATCGATGAAAGAAAGTTGAAAAGTGGACGAGAATATTTCACCCATTGATGCAAAGTGCGCATCTAACAATGTCGATGGGATCATGGATGAGTCAATGTCAGGATTGAGAAAGAACATCTGACCAAGGTACTGGTGTGGTAGAAAACAACATCTGACATAAACGTAAACATCAATTACTGCTACACCACAACGTTGCATCAGATACTTGCACACTCACTTTACCACGCGATAAAGTAAATACCACATTTTGTTTTTGTTGAAAGCAAATTCTCACACATAACGCGTGATTCATTCACAAGTATGAAGATTAACAACGTACGATCAAGGTGAACCTGAGCCGTTGGATGAAGTGGGGCACACAGAAGACTCATCCAACGGTGCAACCACAAAGTGGAGAAAAAGTAACCACCACACTCTGGGATAGAGCACACAGTGTGTCAGTAGAATAGTACTGCCACCCAACCAAAATGCGTTACCCAAGATTTTGAAAATTTGAAGAACCAAGAATCAGACAGAAACTCAAAATACGTGTATGGTTAGAATTTTGAAATTAATCGGATGCACGTTTATGCCCAGAAAAAGGATATACCATATACCCCATCCACCACATTTGTATAAGAAAATTATTTCGGTATTAAAAATCGTATTCAAATTTAAATGCTTTTAGAAGAGGTAGAATAAAATTTACCTTTTAATCTCATATTTAAAAATTATATATTTTATTTCTGAAAAAAAAAAAAACTCAACGCCCATGTTACTTTTTCTTAACTAAAAAGGTAAATTAAAAAACTTGAATATAAAACAAATTTTGAGCGCAAGGGAAAATTACGTCACGCACATCCATGCACCGTGACACGTGTCACAGACCCACTTCATCTTCCTCAAACCAACCACTCTCCTATTCAATTCACACGTTTACTCCCATTCAGAAAAACGTTTTCTCTCAAAACAGCTATCTTCTCCACCACTGTTCGGATTTCCATGTCGTGTCTATCTTATTAGGCACGCCATCTTAACCAGACAGATGAAAAGTTTGCAAAGAGAATGAATGAAAGAAAGGTGAAAGAAAAAAAACAAAAAAAAAAACAAAATACTGACATGGAGAATCTACTTACTTCAACATCAAGAAACAGAAATGGCTTGGCTATCACCAATTGTATATGAATACACTCCCCAAATCATAATAAAATAAAACTCTTCATACCATATAATAATATAAGAAATCTCAAGTAAGATGTGAGATTCACACTTTTTTTTTCATTAAATTATTAGCATTTACAGTAAACTTAAACCATAAAGAAGAGGCCATACCTTGCAGTAGAAGGGTACACACAAGATCCATAACCTACAAACACCAAAACAGATCCGAAAAACAAATGAGATTACACTGTCGTAAAACTTGTAACTAACCCAAGTGTATAAAAAAAAGTTTACAAAATTAATAGATGTGGAATTTTGAACCAAAAACACAATGACTCAGTAATAAAAAACGTTAGATAGCACAGTCTCAGAACTTTTTATCAATAAAACCAGTCAACAAAAAAACAGTTTTATACGTTAATTTAGTCCTATAAACAATCGATGCGGGATTTCGAAGCCAAACAGAATGAGGGAGTAATAAAAAAGAATGGAAATGAGGAAAAGTGAGGAATGATACTGGGATCACTGGTGGCAATGGTGCCAGTGCCAGCAAAATCACAGGACCCAGGAGCTCTGGCTCTGCGCTGATAGTAGCTGTTGAAGGCATACGAAGCGTGAGCTTGAATGGTGTTAGGGAGAAAACAGAGACCCTCAGACTGAAGGGGAAGACAATCAGCACCAGCCCCACATGCATAGTCCAACGCGGTTTGCAGTGCATCATTGCTAGCATCGCTCCTTGCCACACACCAACTCGCTGCACCTTGACCAACCACATTCTGGGCTCCCACCATCATGGTTAGTAACAGCAGAGGAACAAAGTTTGGTGCTGCCATTGGAGAAAGTTATAGCTGCGAGTGTTTTGCTTTGCTTAGTTGGTAAAGGTGGAGAGAGAGAAGAGGGAAGAGTCGAGAGAAAAAGGGGAAATTATATTATGGTGAGTGAGATGAGATGAGAGAGTGTGGAGATGGGAATAGAAGCCGCTTTCGCTTTCTTTTTGCAATCTCTTTTTCTTTTTATATTATCACAACAACACAGCACATCATAGTATATCTCAGGTTTCTATGTTCTAACGTTAATGTTTGTCTCCCACCACAATACAGGGGTACTCTTTTTTTTTTTTTTTTTTCCTTTGATGAGATAAAAACAAACGCCATTACCCCAAAACCTGTTTCCTAATAAATATTTTCTGACTTTTTATTTTGTTTGTTTCTTCAGTGCAACGACTCTATGTAATTAATTTTTTTATAAATTTTTTATAAATTCTAGTAAGATTTTTTTTGTTTACCTTTTATCATTTATCAACTGAACTTTAAAATATATAACATGTGTTGTATTAATCTTTTCATCTTCATGCTATTTGAACGTACTTGCTTTATTATATGTTTCTAATGTCCGAATCTTACAAACCTCAAGTCAATTTTTGACTCTTATAGAATTTTTGAGTTTTATGTATATATTTATTTAGCTGCAGCTTGTCTGTTTGGGCTCGCCCCACCTTTAGTATATCAAAAGTGAGGCAGACAGGCTGATTTATTATAATCATGATGGGTTATAAATTTTGACCAGACTTTGTTAAGGGGTAAGTTGGCAGGTTGGTCAGTCATAATTTAGAAAAAAATAATTTATCTTTTAAAATCAAAATTTTTAATAAATTTAATAATAAAATTATTATTTATTTGTTAATAATTCAATATATATATATATATATATATTATTTCAATTTAATAATATAAATCAATACATTATTTTAAGAAGTTATAATTTAGAACAATAATAAAATTTACATAATAATAAATAATAACAAATATATATATATATATATATATATATATATATATGTGGTGGATCTTGACCATTGATTTTGGGGGGAGGCAAATAATATATTATTAATAAATAAATATAAAAGGAAGAAAGAAGATGAAAGGGTAAAAAGATAAAATTCTAGATATATACTTAAATATATTAAATGATCATTAAGTTTGAGGGGAACAAAATCATAAATTATATGAGAGTTACAAAGCTGTAGAGTTGAGAGGATTAAATTTTAAATATATAAGTAAATATATTAAATGTTCATTATGTTTGGGGGACCAAAATCATAAATTACATGGGAATTACAAAACTTTGGGAGGGCCACGGCCCCCTCAACTCTCAAGAAGATTGTATATATATATATATATATATATATATATATATATATATATATATATATATATATATATATATATAATATTAAAACTTATAAAATTTATATTTTTTATATTGAAAAATTCAAATACCAATATCTTTTTTATTTGATAAAACTTTATATTATTCTGGTTTGAGTAATTCTTACACCTTTAATTCAAGTCATAAGGATAAAAATAATAAGTGTTTAGGATAAACAAAGAGAATATGAGAAAGAATGTTGTGTTTTAGTAAAAAGAATATTTGATGTGAGAGTGAAATTTTTTTAATTCTCTTTTTAAAATTTTTAACTTTATATATTATCTTTATAATTAACTTTATTAAAATATAAATTTATTTTTTTATTAATTAAGTGGACCGCGAGTTGACCCAACGAGTTGGCGGGACGGGCCAAAGCGAGCTGATGGGCTAAAAACACCAATCCGCTCCACTATATTATGACGGGATGGCGGGTCGACCCGCCGATCCTAACCCGTTTTGTCATCCTATTATAAACAATGTTAAAAAGAATATCATAAAAAAGAGAGAGAATATAATTAAGAAAATATCAAAACTATTATCACTAAATTGTACGAGAACGTGCATGTAAATATGTTCTCCACTTTTAAATTATTTTCCTTATCACTATATTTAGCAATCTTTACAAGATTCAAAACAAATCATATAAGCATAACACGTTACCTAATAATAATAAACTAAGTTCACACATCCCACCTCATTTAAAAATTAAATCAAGCTAGTATATATATATATTCTCCTCTAAAGAATCTTTTAAAGATAAAATGATACAATATTCTTTTTTAACCTATCTAAACATGATGCATTTTAAGCACAAAAATAATACCCTCAAACAATATCTTAGATCTACCAAAACTATTTTTAAGGATAAAACCCTTTAGAAGTATGTATAAATCAATTTGACACGCCTTTTAAAGATAAAATAATACATTTTTCGATAATATCTTATGTCTTTTAAGGATAAAACAATATACCTTCCAATAATATCTTAGACCTATCGAGATATTTTTTAATGATAAAACTCTTTTATAAGTATGTATAAATTACTCTTATACGTCTTTTAAGAACAAAATAATACACCTTTCAATAATATCTTAGACTTACTAATTTTTTTTAAAGACAAAACTCTATAAATTACCCTGACATCGACTCTAGCTTAAAATAACAATAAAAACTCATGATTCATGTATGAGTTTCGTAACAAATGTATGTGTTTCTGGTGGAATTTTGATCGATTTCGATTTCTAGGGAATTTTGTTCTAACCAAATTCCAACCACGTAGATTCTTTTTACTTAGGCTAGCAAATGGTTTTCAATCGAAATATGTATGAGAATCGAAAGTACCACAAATCTTAATGTAACCTAATGACAATCGAAATCGCTATTTTTGGTATTTTAAAGCACTCGAAATAAAGAACGCAGTAAAATGTCAAATCGAAAGGCAGGACAGAATATAAAGCTGCGGAAAAATATTAAACTGCAGAAAATGTAAAGTACGGAAACCTCAAAATTGCATTAAGTGTAAATGGCAAGGAATCGAAAATTGTAGGATTGTAAGTAAGTAAAAAATCGAACTTTGCAGAAAAATAGACAACAGAAAATCGATATTGCACGAAAAAGAATAACAAGAAATCGAAATTGCACAACTTAAATTGCATTAAGGTAGAAGACGAGGAATTGAAAGTACAGAAACTTAAATATACATGAATATAAATTACCAGGGAAAGTAAAGAAAATGATAAAGACAGTCAACGAAAATGGAAATCCAGATCGCCAAAAACTTCATGATTGCGTCGTTCTCCGGTAGACTTCTCACTAGTATTTCTATTCTCTCTGCCAATTTCCCTTTCTTTTCCAGTCTTTGCTCTATTTATAGAGCATCCTTCAAGTAACCTCCCACGAGTGTTTAATACCACTATCACCACGATCTTACGTGCCCGTTCCTTTAGTCTTACCGTTTTAAAAACTGCACTCCACGTTCTCACGTATAAGGGAACTGCTCCTCCTTCGATTTCTGGCGCGGTTTAGAAACTGTTTCCCACGTTCCCTGTGTATGTGTTAACCGCTCCCTCGATCTCGACTTCAGACATCGAGTATTTTAAATTTTACTTTTGATCTTTAATTTTGTACTATTCTAACTTCAACAATAGGCATCGAAATTTTGTTTCTTCGATTCTCGATTTTGATTCTCGATGTACTTTTATCTTTGTGGTTACCAGCTTTTACCAATTTCATCGAAAATACGTTCTCGATGTCTTTTACCAATCGTATGGTCTTAGATTTTTTTTTCTCTCTTTCATTTTTCGATCCCTTTATCGATTTCCCATTAACAGAATGCCCCCTTGGAAGAATATAAACGTTTGTATTTATATTCTTTCAACATGATTCCCGCCTTTTGGAGGCCCATCAGAACTTAGGGTTTAGGGTTGCTGGGGTTTTAGGGTTTTTTCCACTTTATGTCACCTATCATGTCAGTTCTGCCGCCTCGCTGCACATGCCACATTAATTACCCTTCACCTCCGTCGCTTCCAATACCCCAGTTAGTTTCTAAAACGCTTGTTAACCTTTTCACCCTTGTTTTTCACCACAAACTTTACTCCTCCTTTGCATCTTCGTCTTCTACCTTGCACCTCCGTCGTCTACTCTCTGTTTTTCTCTGCTCTATCAACTAGTGAAATGGTAACCTCATCCAAATCTTCTGACTTTTCCGCCCCACCACTTCCCTCGTTGGCCGCTAACCTGCTAGAGATTAATAACCAGAAATTTGCTCCAGTTCCTTTGTTGGAGGAAGCTTCTCGGAAAGTTGCTGAGACGCAGGTACTGATTCCTTACACTGCTGGTGATGTAAATTATGCTTTTGGGGGTCCTATCCGTTCTTGTAGCGGATCTTTTTCTTCCATCAATCTTTCTTCCAAGAGTCAGGCTCCCATTCATCAATCTGAAGTTCGAATTGATTTTTTAAACATTGTATCCAAAGTATACCGTACGGGCCCTCCCCACAAAAAACCCTTGTATGTTAGGTGGTTTGATCGAGTAAAAACAAAGTTTGGGAACCATTGGAAAGATGTGGGGATCTTCGATTTCCTGCATTTGTCTCGATGCGATTTATCTTACTTGGATATGGCTATGTTCTTGTCAGCTGTCCATCTTTGGAACAAGGACTTACATGCTTTGGAATTACCTTGTGGTCCACTTTCACCCACCCTCTTTGAGATTGCTGCTATTACCGGACTAAAACCCATAGGGGAAAAATATTTTAAGGGTGTTTTTCCTTCGGATAATTCTTTAAGGTCGAACATCAATTGGGAATCGAAGGCGTATGGGCATTTTATCGAAAAGCACTTCGTCGATGATCCATCGATAGCTGTAACTGATGAGGAGCATATAGCCTTCCTAGTGTATTGGCTATGTATTCATGTTTTTTGCCCCCGATCCATCCAAATTTCATCCCAACTTTATAACCTTGCCTATCTCCTACACACGGGCCAGCCTCGAATTTGTTTAGCAAAACTTTTATTAGCCCATGTATATACTGCTTTTGATGAAGCCGTCGAGATTTTGAATACCCCTAGGGCTTCGGGGAATTTTTCGGGTCCCATTTGGTTTATCCAATTATGGCTAAACTCGG